AAAATTAGCTACAAGCCAGTTGGTCTAGAAGGTCAAGTGACCTTCCTTCCACTCTTAGGCAATAGTGAGTATATACAACTTTAAAGTTTGATTCTTTTTAGCTTTATTTTTACATTTTTATTAGTATTTTTTAGCCATAATTTTTGTTTATTATATAGATAATTTTTTAGTTTCAAACTTTATATTTAACATGATAAAAATCATAAGTAAAAAACATGGATATCAAGATGTTAAAATAGATACAATATCATATCAACCACTATTCCTTTCTAACAAACTAAAGCAGAGAGATAATGAGTCCAAAAGCTTGGACATCTTCTTTGAAGTATTTTCATTTATTATTTTTTGGGTACATATTTTTCATTATTTATTGTTAATTATTTAATTGAGTTTAGTTTGTTAATAGTACTTAAATTTAAGTTCTTGATATGAAACTAAATTTTAGTTCTCTATTATTATTTTAGATTATATTTAAGTTTACATTGTAACAAATAATATTTATTAAATTTTAATTTTAAAAAATTAAAGCAAAATATTATTCAATAAGTACATAAGTATATATTTGTAAGTTACCTAATACTTATTAGGTTAAGAACTTGTTAGGTTAAGAACTAAGTATAGGTCTCCAAGTATTTGGTAAGTACCAAATTTAAAAAATTATACTTAAAAATTTTCAAATTAAGTATCAAATATAACTCATATTTCAGCAATAATTGAAAATATTTACCTCTAAATTCATCATAGTCCATCAATGAACTGGGCTTATCATCTTAAGCCACAAGAAAGAAGGAGAAGTTGAAATTAAAACGGGCCAGTGAATTACGGGCGATTGCGTTCGTTGGGATCCAGAGGAAAGTTTAGCCCATAACCATTTTGTCTTCTCTGAAATTGTTGCCCAATTAAAAAATCTGTGTTGACTGTTGAGAGTGGGATTTGAACCCACGCCCTTTCGGACCAGAACCTTAATCTGGCGCCTTAGACCAACTCGGCCATCTCAACGGATGCTAACGCCTGCACAAATGGTTTAATAAATATAAAACAATGTCTGACCAAATAATGTACTATTTTTTATATGTGTTAAAGCAAGCAATTTTTTTTTTTTTTACAAGAATAATTGTTAGAAGTTAGAGATTAGAAATTAGGTTAATACCTTACTCTTGACAAAGCTTGATCACTAGTCAGGAGTGCAATCCACCGGCAGCCCGCTACAGTGGCCATCAATGGTTCACAACAAGAAAATACGTTAAAACAAGCAATTTAATCTTAAGGGGAAGGAGGGAGGTAAAGAGGAAGAATACATATTAGAACCCTTGTTATAAGAGTGTAAAAATTATATTAATAATAGAGATGCTTTAATTACCAAACTCTGATAATCTAGTACATTTGATTTTTTTTAATAGATATAATTGGTTTGCCTTGTACATTTTATAATTATCAATAAAATACAACTCCACTATATTACAGCACTCACCTTCGAACTAATCAAACCTTTGGATTCAATAATTTATCCTCAAACTTTAAATTTTTAAGTCTAGTGAATCAAAAGTTCGACTCTCACCAATAATTTTAAAAGATATATCTTATTCCCGAATTACCCGAGGTTAAAAAAAAAAAAGAAAAAGCAACCATCTTCGTCATTAGTAATCATAAGATAAAATGTGTAACCCATTGATGTTGCTTCTAATATTGCTCATTTTTCACAAAATTCAAATTTCTATAATGCTAACGCGCAAAAATTATTCCCATTTCTAATGATATTCGCAGCTGAGGCAGAAGACTCACACGAGCCTTTAGAAACAAGCAATTATACGGTGAATCTTGATTCATTGGCAATGA